GGTGGGGTTGGAGACCCTGTATCCAGCTGCTCACCCCGAAGCCCCGCCTTGCACCCCTGGGAACCAAGCCTCCCACAGTGAGCAGGGAAATTGCAGGCCAAGCCAAAGCACCTCCATCTCGGGCTCCAGCACCCCGTTCCCTCTGTGTGCCGCAGTCCTCTGTGCTCCATTACTCATGAAACGGCAAAGTCCATCTTGGTTTTGTCAACATTTTATTAGCTCTTTCCTGACCCAGTCTAAAAGGAGTTAGCTTCTACTGCCCTGGAGTTTACTCGAGAAGATGGACCTCCGGTCTCTGCCAAAACTCTTCCTACAAACCATAATTTCACTTTTTCTTTAATTTACTGCTGCCTGTACCAGCTTTTGTGCTCAGCACCATGGCAGAGATGGAGACAGATCAGGGAGAATCTGGGCCCAGCCCTGCCTAAAGAAAGCTGATTGCATGGTTACGGACCAGCACGGTACCTTAAGGACTTACAAGCCAGCAAGGGAAAAGACTGTCACAAAGCATTCAGAGCTGCTTCTGAAGAGCGCAGTGGGAAGACTCAGAGCTACACCAAGCACCACCTTGCTTACCTGTTCAGCCTTCCTGCGCTGCCAGGCGACTCCCTAAGCAAGCCACCGTCTCTCTCCCGAGGACAGGAAAGCCAGCAAGCACAAGAAGTGGCACCGAGTGCTGCCGGCTTGGGAGCTGCCTGCCTTCCTTTCCTCTCTTGCAACCTTGTATTCTGTTGATTCTTCCTTAGTTTCAATTCCGAGTGGGCCACGTAGCACCTGCCCTTGCGTCTGCACACCACTGGCGCGGCATCGCTCTGTGGCTATCTCCCAGTCGCCATGTGCAGGGCACTGTCTTGACCTATGACAGCAGAGGACCAGCATGAGTGTCTCTTGCTGTTACACTAATGAGAGACTTGTACATAGTTAAAACATAGCTAAAATACTAAGAAGAGTTGGTGTTAGTGTTACAGGTGTTCAGAACAGGGATAGATGTTCTAGCTAGATGTTAAAAGAAATAAGTGAGACTGTAGAAAAAGTAGCACTTGAATATGAAATTTCCCTGGGCATTAGAAAGCCCGGGAAGTCTTTTCAGTTGGGAAGTAAATGGTCAGTTTCTGTGACAGTCCTGAGCAGGTCGCTGGGACACGATAGCTCCCACAGAGAGAGACGTCAGGAGAGTGGTAAGAAGGCACGTGCTTGCGGAATACATTTGGGGGACGTCACTGGATCCAAGGTGACTGGAAGAGCTGGGCGCCTGCAGGACGCACAGGAAAGAGAAGCAGCAAAGGCAGCCCCTGCACACAGGGCGGTGGGAGCGTGGCAGGGTCCGAGCAGTGGCTGAGCACACGAGGAGAAGAGGCGCGGAGCACGGGAGCCGGAGAGGGCTTCCCAGGCTCCATTTCCATGACTCGTAATTAGGTGCCTCAGAGTCAGTCCCATTAGGATTTCCCTTACAGAGAGATTTATTGCAATATGTGGCTGCCATGAGGAGGTGGTGTCACCCTGACTTGGACTCGATTTCTTAAAGTTCTCAAGGAGCTTCTTAGAACATTTCCGCACAGACTCACTGTTTAAGTCACATGGCAGTGGGGGTGATGGCCTTGCTCTATCAATTCATGACATAGTTCCAAGTGTTTCTATCTTAGATGTTTTTCTTTTTGAAATTTTTTAAAATATTCTAGTTCCTCTGATTTTTAAAGGTAATTCATTATTTAAAAACTTAGAAGCCAAAAAAGTAAATATATTTAAAAAGCAAGAAAAAATACACATGGGTGTTAGGTATTTTCTCACTGGTGTTAAGTGTTAGATGCTGTCTAAGCTACATGTATGACAGAGTACATATATGTGTGTGACCTGTTTACTTACATGATTGTATAGATGGCATGCACATGTGCACGCTTGCTTAATATCACAAGCTGCAGTGTGCATTCATTGCCATCGTTAGTATTCTCCATTGCCGTTACACATCAGAACTTTTCCATTCCATTAATAATGGTTCAAAAATTTTATTGATATTTGCTTCAGAATATTTTGCTGTATGAGCTTCCTGAAACAGAGAAGCGCTGTCCTGCCCTGCACGATGCACGAAGCGGGCCGTGCGGGGCGCGGGCAGCGTGGGGCTCCTAGGCCGCGTCACTCCAGCGTGGGCGCTGCTCTCCCATCCTCGTCCTCACAAGCAGAGCCCTGACGCGGGAGGCTGGCGCGGCGCGTCAGCGCCAGGATGGAAAGCTCCTGAGTGGCCGGGGCGCTCCGGCAGGGGGCGCGAGCGCCTGCGCCTGCACGCCAGCTCTCCCTTCTGTTTCCCCTTGCGGCCGCTTCTGCACCTCAGCCACTTCCCTCACCGCTTCCCACACACTCAGCCGCATGTCTGCATGCACACACACACACACGCAAAGAAAGCTCCGGCCTACAGGTGGGCCAAGTGCATTCGAGCCCCAAGTTGTGTCTCGTTCTTCATTCTCCGCGATGTGCACTTTGTTAAGAAAAAGAGTGTCCTGGAGTGAGCCAAAGGGAGTGAAGGCAAGGTCGCCTCTCCTCTGTGATGGAGCAGGGCAAGCCCGGCCGGGGCCTGAGCCCAGGAGGGAGAGAGCCAAGCGCACACGTGCTTTAGGAGGACAGACAGAGCCGCATTGTGTCGCTATCTCTCTGTTTTCACAGGTGCCACGCAGCCAGTTCACGAGTCTTCACCATGACCCGTGCCACAGAAACATAAATACAGCTCTAGTTTTGCTGAATCCAGGTTTAAAGCTCCTTTTTCAAACAAAAACATATTTCTAAATCAGTCCAAAGCAAAGCCCAACATCTTGAATTCTATGAGCTCTCTCATTTATTCTCTTTCATTGGTTTAGCTTGTCTCTTTCAACATCTCTGTCTCCATTTTAAATATCATCAGCTGATAAATCACCTGATGTCGATCTACAAAAGTTGGTTTTAATGTTAAAGATGACAAATTGTGGCCATAAATATTTTCAGAATAAAAGGCAGTGCATTGAGGTTTACATTTAGAAATTGATACGGAATGAATAAAGATGCTAAGAGCAAGCAAATACAACTTCAAAGTCAACTGCAGTTACTCCTTAATTGACTACTACAAGATAACAGGGCAGGTCCAAGTTACTGGAACACTTTAGGAAGCTGGCATTCTTTCAAATATGGTTCTTTACAAAGCAAAGTCCCTTAATTACTGGATACAAGCACTATTGCGAGGAGATCGCAGACGCCTGACACAAGGCCAGCGGAGGCCTTCGTCCAGTCCCTTGTCTGTCAGGGGCAGGAATGAGTAGACCACTTACCTCCCAAAGTAGAACGGAGGTTTAATGCAGTATCCATTGCATTTTGTGTTAAAGATCATGGGCGTTTAACAATGCCCAAAGGCAGTACTCAGCTTTATGAACACTGTCAGAGAAGAGGAAAACACACTCACAAAATACACAGACATACACGTAATTGAAAATCCCTTGTGCAATGAAGCGTAAGACATCGAGTCTTACAACAAAGTTAGTTATGTATGATAAACACATTAGTACTCCAGCGATTTTTCTTTCTGGGAATAAACATCTGTCTTCACAATTTCATCTTCTACTTTGGTCAAACAAATTCAGATTCTCTCAAGTATTTCCTCACATTTCAGTCATTTCTCCAGAACCTGCGCAGGCCTTTGTCTTTCCCTCTCACGATCTCTGGCCTGAGTGACCTTTTGCCTTTCTAATCCACAGTATGCCCGGGCTGCGCCTTCTCCCCAGAGGCTTACATTTGCTAACCATAGAGATAAAGCACATTCTGCCATCCCATATCACAAGATAGGTCAAGCTGCAAGTCTTTCTTTAGAAATATATGGTCACTATGATACAGATATATAAATAAATGAGCCCTAAGGACACAGCGTGCAGGCGTTCCTTGGGCGCTCAGAAGTGCTCCCAGGTGTGCAGGTTGGTCCTCTGTCAGCATGAGAGCCATTGGTGTGTGCCTCCCGTGCTGCATCTGGGTTGGGTTCTTGTCACCTCCCACGGTCGCCCCACCCTCTTACCCAGACACAAGGCACAAACCCTCCACATGGCCGGGCCAGGCCTCTGTGAGGACCCAGACTTACTAATTGGAGGCTTTTGTCGAAGTCAGTGGAAAAGATTCATCCTCCAAGGACTTTTACATGATCCATAATGTCATTTACTCTGCGCTCTTTAGCCGTGTAGCATAGAATGTCACTTCTTACTGTTCCTTTAGCCCCTTCTCCGTCCCTAACCCTCACAGGTTTCCCAGGGTACTAGGTAATTCTACTAGATAATTCATCACAATTGCAGCCACCCTTACATAACAATTTACAACATGTAACATGCTTTAGACTAAAAAAACCTTGTCATATCTATGAAAGGTTTTACAACTTTATCTTTAAAGAGAATTTGCTTTTGCGCATAGCTGCCTACTGTATTTGGTAGTTCCCTTCTCTTTCTGTAAGATACCCAAGCAGCTGCTTTCCAGGTAATAGTGAAAATCTGTAGGTCAGCCGAGAGATGAAACCCACTTGCTAGTAACAGGTGGCACTGTGCTGGCAGCTCTGTGGGACAGACTCGTCCTTGCACAGTTCGCTCTGTCACCAGAAGGGCGACAGCAGCTGCAGTCCCTCGGTGAGCACCTGGGACTAACATCAATAATGAGGATGATGGTGGCGGCCTCACAGGATGTGTGAGTTGGGGGATTAAAGAACATTCGCAAGCTTACAGCGTCACATTTAGTGACGGGGTGCCAAGTCCTGCCACCACCCTCCCCAGTGGTGTTCCCTGCTTGGAGCAGAGTTCACTACCGGAAATGGTAGCCTTTCGGAGAACTCACCCCACCTGGAGCATGTGCAAGATGGAGGTGCTGAAGTGTCTTAGTGTTGTTTTTCAGAGATGATTTGTCAATGTTGTTTTGTAATTGTATAAAAGTTTTGTATAATGTAATCATTTAGTGTTTATTTTATTGTATGTACCTTCTACTCAGAGGGTTGGCATTATTGTTCCTAACAGTGACGGATACAAGCAGATCATGCCTTATGACCTCTACCACCCCCTTCCTCGGTACGTAAATCAATCATCCTGATGTTAGAATTAGCAAATCAGTCTTCTGATGCTTTTAGATATATATATAGAGAGAGAGAGAGACATAGACATATGTAGAGAAAGATTTTGTGTTTTTTCTCTAAAAATACGGCGGCGGATGGTGACTGCAGTCCCGCCTGAGCCGCTTCCGAGCACTGCTGGCCTGCTCAGCCCTCAGCTGGTCCTTCCGAACCCTTTTTAAACGAAGGTCATGTTACACTGCAGGCGGCTCAGTCATTCACTCTGGTTAGAAACAGTGCACGGTTCATGTTATGTCTTTCTCTCCCTTTGTCCTCTGCTCTTTCTTCTGCAGTAGAATCCCAGTCATTAAGCCACTGTTGCTAACTATTAGACAAACCCCCCTAACGCCTTACCCAACACCACACACGGGGAGTTCCAGATGTGGTGTTAGTCTGCATAGGGCCTTTCTATGTCCTCTTTTTACTTTGAAGAAATTATAGTTAAGTGCAAACTTTTCTTGTCTTTATTATTCAGAAATTTAATTGAAATAGTTTTTAAATACAGTAATTGGAAAAAAAATATTTAAATTTTATAATCTCATAAGACTGCCTGGCAAGTGTGAGGACCTGAACTGGATTCCTGGTACCAAAACCCCCCAAAAAATTTCATAAGATTTTTCTTATTATAATGTATTCATATGAAAATGACTACCTACTGCCACTTGCTACCTGCCACATTTGAAACAGTTCCACAGATAGCAGAAATTCGAGTTGGGCTTAAATCTACCTTTTCTGTGTTTTCTTTGTTTATTTGGTCTCTGGGGGGCCAGTGCTATTGAGAACCGATGGTTTAAATTAGACTTTAAATAGTTGAAATAATCTACAGCAGTTTGCTCAGTCTGCACTTAACTAAGCCTGGAAGATAATTGTATTCAAAACTGCATAATAAAGCAGTCTGAGAAGTTGTTCTCCGAGCACGACCCTGGAGGCTGTGCGCCCAGCACCTCAGCGATGGCTCTTGCTCCTGCCCCTGCCAGCACTCCCACGCTCACACTGCGCAGACACGCAAGCCAGGCATCGCACACATAGGAGCCCATGCACATCGACGCCCATGTGTCCACACATGGACTGCACATGCTCAAGATTTCTGTGACGCATGTATGCGAGTGCAAGCTGTCACTCAGTGTCCATCTAGTATGTCCAGCAGCTGACCAGAATCGCACTTTTCATCATTCTAACAGTGACCTATAGACAGAGGGGTTTGATTTACACAAGGCGCACTGGTCGCTGCCTCTGTCGCTGAGTGGCAACCTCATCCATCAGCTGCCTGTCACTTTCTTATGATTATTTTGATAAAGACAGTAAGCAGCCTTTGAATGCCCTGATACATGATTTTGCTGATCTGACTCAAACTGCTTTACTCATTCATAATTTAATGAAAGTAACAAATACCAATTTAACTGAACCAAGATCTCCTTTTATTGTAGTTTCTATGTTCCGAGGACACAGCACTTGTTGGAAGGCCATCCATGACAAAGGCTAAGTTGGGTGGCAAGAATGAGCAACATCAAGTTGTTTTCCTGTAGCTCCTAGATTTATCTCAGAGCCTCTATGACTTCTTTTGTTTATATTTTTCTGGCATAACTAATGCTGCCTGTCTTAAGTTAGACGTGATCTTTTATAGAATGGAATTTACCCCAAATGCCTAAAACCCTGTGGTATTGAAATGGTCCCCTTCCTGATGGCTCGTGCCACGTCCTGGGTCTACGGTGCGGCATGTGCGTGCATCACAACAGGAGGGCACAGCTGGCAAGGCAAGCAACTGCACTTCCGCCCTCAGCTTCATTACCACGGTAGCTCTAAGGCTAGGAAGTCGGCTGCACTGAGAAAGCCCTGGCGCCAGAGGTGATCACTACGAATGCACTTGCATTTCATCACATGACTATTTTATAAATTTCTCAACTGAAAACCACCCAATAGTCAAGAAAGAAAGCTTTACTTATTTAAAATATTTAAATAGGATCAAGACCACAATTACAGACATTACACAGTTAATAGAATCTTAGGTTGTTCTTTACTGTTTTCAGTCTCTGACTGAATACGTAATCTGAACTAAGAATATAGTCTGAGGAATGATCTTGATTCATATTAATATATGCCACCTCTCTACATCCTTTTTAATTTTGATAATTTCTTAAACTAAATACATTGTATGTTTAAAACATTGAAACCATAAGGAGTTAAAATGTGTGGTGGTACATAAGTTCATTTAATATTCTCCCAGGACAAGAGCCCAGATCCCAGAGCAAGATTCTTGGATACATCTTCTTTTATTCCAAGTGCTTACCTTGGTCATAGTTTTAAGATCTCACAGCTGATACTGTCTCTCAGCTTCTGTTATAAAGTAACCAAATATGTTTTTCTTTAAACTCTCATATAACTCTTTTATTGTATGAGGATGCACAGCCTAATATTCCACATGTAAAATCATAATTGCATGCTGGAAATATACTATAAGAGTAATATTAGCCTTGCTTGTCTTTTTGTGATTGCTGACTTTGAAAGGGCTGCTTATTTCTGTTTGTGAAATTATACTATACTCAGGTCCAAGTGTTGAAACAGAAATGAATCACTCTTCTTTTAGGAGGGCCAAGTTCAGGGATTTAGGAGCACCAATTAGAAAGTGTGTTCTTTTATGACATCTTAATACACAAAGAGATTAAATGTGCATTAAAAATATAGTCCCACTTCATCATCACATGTGGTAAGAACAGCACCTCTATATCTGGCTGGCTTCCATTGAAGGCCTGCTCTGTCCCCGCACAGGCGCCTCCTGAGACTCACGTGGCCACACATGAGAACTGGTCTTGCCTTATTGGAAGGGAAGCTTTCTGTAGAGCGACTTCATTGTCTCGACACAGATCAAAAAATCTCCTAAAGACCAAGCAGAGAGCCTCAGTTTCCCCATAACGACATTCTCTTATGTGTATCTTGGGGAAAACACATCGGAAAATACTATGCATGGCAACATATGTTGGCTGTTGGCAGTGAAGTGAAGAGCTGTTGCCTAAATGTCTACAGTGCCCAGAAAATGTAGAGGAAAATCTGCTTAACTGGGAAGCACACATTGCTGTGACTCATGCAGCAGAGAAATCAAGTTCACGACATCCATGAAATCCTACTTAGAGAATAATTAGAGTCTCTGTGGGGTGCCCGAGACATAGTTTTGAGCTGAGCTAGTCAAGTATTTTAACTTGGTGAAATTTCCTTTCTCTTTTATTAAGATTCTCTCTCCTAATTCTAAGAGAAATCTTAAAGTTCCTGGCTCCTCCTCATTGACAAGCAGAACGTATATAAGAGTGACAGAGTCAACTCACCCAGTCCCAAAGCTTCAGTTTTTAGAAATTCCACACTCTAGATCGATGGGAGAGAAAATAATTAGACAAAGATAGCTCTCTGCATTTGATCTCAGCTCTGAAGCATCACTGAAATTGTCTTAACTGTTGTCAGAAATATTGTCATTTTCTGTCTTATCTAACGATGACTGTAGGTTCAAAAGCCATAAGCCTTTCAACCAAGACAAGCCTCTTCCCACCTCCCGAAATATTTTACTAGAGGGACTCTAAGCTGCCACTGTCCCAGCAGCAGGAGCACGCGCATCACACTTGCATTAACCCTTCTGCTCCGGGCGGCGCCGCCTGAACACCAAGACTGGGCTGGGGCTATGAAATCTCAAAGCTGCCGGTTGGCAGGAGCTATGGAGAAAGAGCTTTTGCTTACACTGACCTTTTGTGAGCTTCTCCTGCGAAAATCTCTTGAAGTAACGGGATAAAGTCGGAAGTAAAAGTACCTGCACAGTTGCAGGCCCTTAGTGTTAACTAATGATCCGACTTTAGACTTGACAAAGAGACTTACGGGATTGAACGAAAAGTAAGTGAATAAATTTTAATACATCTCTATGTAAATCATGAAGACGGGGGCAAAGACTGAGACTGAACTGCCACCTCTTGTGTCAATGCCAGGCAGCAAAGGTGTCCTTGGGGACAGCTCCCAGCACTGCATTGCTTCCATCTGTGTAGGTAGCGCTTTGGCCAACGCCCAAGCCTCTCGCTGGCTCTTAAGATTTCAGTCAGTAAACATTTTTTGGTTCTCTGAACTGTAGCCTCTGAGAACCTGCTGACCCCAGCAGGCCAGGGAACAGGGTTGGTGTGGCAGGTCATGGAGGATGTGCGACAATGTCTGCCCTGATGACTCCCTTGCTTCTGTAGGTGGGAGGCCACCCCGTGGACCGCGTGCTCCTCCTCGTGTGGGGGGGGCGTCCAGCGCCGGGCGGTTTCCTGCGTGGAGGAGGACGTCCAGGGGCGTGTCTCATCAGTGGAAGAGTGGAAATGCATGTACACCCCTAAGACGCCCATCGTGCAACCCTGCAACATTTTTGACTGCCCTAAATGGCTGGCACAGGAGTGGTCTCCGGTAACTGTGCCCTCTTTCTTTGTTCATTAGGAGAGTCAGTCTGCGGCTCCCTCGGCCGTCAGGGCCGACCAGGTACCAGCGCGGCCCCACCTTCTCCTGGCTTGTTAGCCACCTACCAGCTTAGCCCTGAGTGGGAGTGTCCCAGTCCAGCATGGCAGAAATGGCAGAACATAATTGGTTATATATATATATATATATATATATATATATATCTTCTACTTCAAAGGAACTTCTACTGCACCCCTTTTTCAGATAAACAAGTGCCCTTCTACAATAGCTCAGGCTGAAGGATGAAACTTAATCTGTGAAAGCTACTGTGACAGGAGAGCTCAGAAGACCAGAGTTTGACTGTATTTTTGCTTAGTATCTTCTATCAGTACCCAAAAAAGGGTCCTGGTGGATTAAAATTAAACTAGGTATACTAGCCACTGGGGGAAGGGGATAGAAATGAAAGCTGTAAAATAATAATTATGGGGTGAAGCAGAATAATTAAACCCAAAATAATAGACATTAGGAAACCTGCTGTAGCTAAGATTAAAATGTTATTCTAGGTTTCCTAGTTGCTACAGTAAAGAGACAAATGGCACACGAGATAGGAAGATGTAGAAGGAAACCACTGTCCCTTCTCCACAAGACGCGAAAGGCTCCGTGCTGAGCCTTCCAGCTTTGACGGTGCAGCCCACACCATGCTGCCTTCCCTGATGTGCCAGAGGCGCAGGACCAGTGCAGGCACTGCGCACATCTGGCCACTGAGTCATTTCTATCCATGGTTTGATTTTTATTTCAGTGTAATCAGTTGGATTGGCCATGCTGTGATACAAACTAGCTATGACGCAGCTTAAACTGTGTCATTCTCCTTGCAGGAGCAAGTGCTCCCCATAGGCTTGGACATTGCAGTCACCAGCAAAGTAGCTAAGAAGAGTGCTGGTAACTCAATTTGAGTGCACTTTAGTTTCTTTTTTCGTGTGTGTGTGTGTGTGTGTGTGTGTGTGTGTGTGTGTGCTTGATTTGAGATTTTGCATAGAGGGTGCTTCAGGATTGGTGACAGATTCATCCAAGCCTAAGAGGTTGGAAGTGGCTTAATTTTCAGCTAGCTTCACCTCAAATAGCCAAAGAGAAAAAGGTGCCAAGACTGGTGAGAAGTGCTCCAGACCCACCAGGAGTCCGCAGAGAAGCAGAGAAGCAGGGTCCTTGTGTAAGGGGCCTTAGGTGAGGCGGGAAGGAAGGAGCCTTTTCCTGTGAGTCTCCTCTCTCGCAATCTCTTTCCAGTGCACAGTGACGTGTGGCCAGGGTCTCCGCTACCGCGTGGTCCTCTGCATGGACCACCGAGGGATGCACACGGGAGGCTGCAGCCCCAAGACAAAGCCCCACATCAAGGAGGAGTGCATCGGGCCCACTCCGTGCTACAGACCTAGAGGTAACATGACAGACATGCCTTCAGCCTGCCCTCGGGCGCGGCACAAGTCCTTGCGGACGTCATCCCAAGTATTCGTAGTAGTCACTCTTTGTAACATAGACTCTACTAACTGGACGTGATGCACGTTTTGAACATTTCAAATGGTTTTGATTGCAATTTTTTACTAAGTGCTCCGTAAGGAAAGCTGTGTACAATTACCCCCACGTTAAGAGGTGGTTCGAAGATGATGGTTGAAAAATGTCATGTGCACTTTTTATACTGAAAATGAAAACATAAATATGAGACTAAATTCTAGAAGCATAATTTATAATCAAAATGTGAAGCATATCACAATTTAGTATATATTGGAAATAACTTATGAAAAGAAATTTTAGAAAAGTTCTACTTTATGAGCAAGAATACCAGATTACGGCCAGCCAGATAGCTCAGCGGATTAGAGCCCCTGCTTAGGCAGATGCAGGGACCAGGGTTCGATCTCCTGCCATGCCAGCCCCACTTCCGTGGTGCGCTGAGACAGCGATTCAGACTGGGCATGGTGGCATGCACCTGTAATCCCAGTGCTTGGGAGGCTGAAAACAGGAGGACCACTACGAGTTTGATCTGTGGTAGTGAAACCCTGTAGACCTGTGCTAAATATGTAAAAAATAAAATAAAAATAAAGACTAGCATAGATTACCATGAACAGTGTCCTAAAAGGAAAGCAAAATCTGAAAACATATCAGAAATCCTGATTACTTTTGATAGATAGCCCCCTCTCTTCTCTCTCCCTTCTCTCTCCTCTTTCCTCCCTCCTTCCCTCCCTCCCCCCATTTTCTCTTCTGTAACTGAAGGGAAAGTAGCATCTACCCTAGGGTCATGGGACGCCTAGAGGAGATAGAATGTAATTAGGTGCCTAGCCTGGCCCTTGGCATATGCCAACTTCTCCCCAAGTATTGCCCTTAATTCTTAACTACCATCAGTGTCCTCACCTGTTAGAAGAGGCAACTGTAGGCACATCTGACAGCATCTGGCCCAACCGGAAAGCATGACGTGGCTGCTGGTGGCACCGCCCGAGCCCTCCCGTTGCAAGGCAGAGCTCTTGTGCTGCGCGGGACCCGCCTGGTCGGGGTAGACGGGGCAGCTGCCAGCCGAGGGCGGCACAGCACCATGTTGCTGTCCGGCCAGTGATAGCAGGACTTCGGGCTTTGGCAGTTTTGTATTTGCCACTCACTTAGTTTTCTGACAGCAAACAAGAACGGCACACACAGGGCACATAGTGATGCTCCTAAAGAAAAACAGAGCATTCGTTGTTAGATCAGGCTTTCCCGAGCCCCTGCAGAGAAAGAAGTCTGTGGCTCACTGTCAAGAACAAAAGCTGGATTTTCACGACTACATAGTAAGCCTCTCTAAACATCATTAAAGCACCACGTAATTCTATGGCGTGCGCATATGTGCATGGAGTTCTTTCATCTTTGCAATCATATGTCATAAAACGGTGATAAAGCCGCACGCTCTCATACTAGAAAGGCAAATATGCCCATAAATGGCCCTAATAAACATGTCAAAGTGGGGGCCTGGGCAGTTACTTCTGTAGGGCGAGTGACAGCGTCCCTATTTCTTTTTCTCCTCCACATTTTTCCCTAGGAAAGTCGTTTAAAAGCTCATTCTGAGTTATTTGGCCAAATCTAGATAATGGGCAAAACAAGTCAAGTTAGTGGTTTATAGGCCCCAACTCACATGTGACATTCGAATCGTCAGAGAGCCGCGCTGGTCCTGAGCAAGTGGGATATGGGACACGATTCTGGGCAAATCTCAGAGTGGCAGAGTTTGATTTTAATTATGTGGCATAGAACACACTTAGCCAAAAGGCAAAAATAAATACATGAAAGTCTCAAAACATAATTTATTTTATTTTCTGTTTAAGATGTCTGGAAGATCTTTTGATGATTCTTTACATGCTTATTGTGCTAGTGCTCCTGCAGTTAGGACTTTGTAACGAAAAGGTTTCCTTCACTTGCAGTATCATGGAGGGCCAGACACACAGACACTGGTGTTGCAAACGTCTTTAAAATCTGATTCCACTCTGCTTGATTAAGCCATCCTCAGAGGAGGCAAAATTACAGAACGTTTAATTATAATTACAGAACACCCAATTATGATTGTCAAGATATAACCTCTGGGCTTTGTACAACTGTAAGATCTGTGAGGGCAGCAGAACGCCCCGACAGCCCCAGCCCGGACTAACCTCTTCTCTTTATGGCATGCACCAATCCTCAGAGAAGCTCCCGGTGGAGGCCAAGCTGCCGTGGTACAAGCAAGCACAGGAGCTGGAGGAGGGAGCGGCTGTGTCCGAGGAGCCTTCGTAAGTGCCGGAAGGGGGAAGCTCACGGGTTACAAGAGCAGCCTGCAGCCTCTGGCTTTCGCGGGTTCTAAACTAGGTGCAAGGAGCTTACCAAAGGCCAAGTGAGCCTTTTGCATTCAAAATATTTGTTGAAATTTTAATTATCTTCAAAGGCAATTTCAATTGTTCTCAGATTCAACCTGTTTGAATCTAAGTACTTTTCAATTTCGCCTGAAGTAGGAAAAGGCAGGGAGAACGCTTGCCTTCTCCTCCAGAGCCTGACCCTGCTTTTTCTCTTGGCAAGAGGCCAAAGGTGGGAAAGACTGGGTAGCATCTGACTTAGGAAGTAATTCGGTGTGAAAGTCTGGTTGGCTTTTCATACGCCTGTATCCCAGCCTCGCTCGAGAGCCGCTCAGAAAAGCAAGGTAGGTGGGATCTAGAGGAGAAAGAAGAGCGGCGGCCCGCCGGCTGCCTTGCCGGGACTGGGGAGCCAGCGACCCGGGCTTGCTTCATCTGCGCACGCGCCCGTCGCGTGCATCCTGATCCCAGCCGCGAAGTCTGCAGGGCTGTTAGCCGCAGCTTCACCGCCGCTTCCGGACAGAGAGCAGGGAAGACGGCCAGCATCGCAGAGGCCGGCTGACCAGCGCGTCCTGGTTCTACTAGAGAACACGGAGAAGCGCTCCGGCTTCCTTGTTCGGGCAGCTAAGGAGGTGCAGCGTAGTGGGAAATTCGGTTATGACCAAAGCAATGTCTCTGGTTGGAATTTTTCTGGATCAGCTAATTTACTACATTCTCTATTATCCTGGGCTAGAGCACGCTTCCCCGCCCCCAAGGAGCTCACGGGAGTGGTCCTCGAAGTGAACCCCTAGTTTACATTTCACTAGAGATAACAATGAATGCCTCAATCTGTAAGTCTCTGATTCATCCTGTTTGAGTTCAAACCTTCTGTGGTCTCCACAGCACAAAGTTTGGAATCTTAATCAAAATAGCAAGAGATTCCACAAGCAACCCACGTGCAGATTGGTGCAGTAAGGAAAGGTCTTTTGTAAGTCAGCTGTGTGAGGACCCTCGGTTGCGCCGACGGCGGCACGTGGAGGAGAGGAAACATTCGCTTACGTAAAAGCACAGCTAAGCAAAACATAGATGACTCCGGTGCAACAGAGCCGCTGCAGCAGTGGGCCAGGGCAGGACCCTGGAGGGAGGACGAGGCTAAGTCAGGCTCAGCCTTTGAGGGCTTGTTTGGAAAAGCGTTCTGTCTCTGTCTCTATGTCTGTTTCTCTCTGTGTCTCTGTCCCTCTGTCTCTGTGTCTCTCTATGTATGTCTGTCTCTATTGTCTCTCTGTCTCTGTCTCTGTCTCCCGCCCACTTTCTTTCTCTTTCCCTGTGTCTCCCTCCCTCTCTCCCTGCCTCCCTCTCTCTTCCTCCCTTCCTTCTCTTTCTCTGTCTCTCTCTCTCCCTCCCTCCCTCCCTCTCTGCTTCCCTCCTTCTCCCTCTCCCTCCTTCCCTCTCCCTCCCTCCCTCCTCTCTCCCTTCCTCCTTCCCTCTCTCCCTGCCTCCCTCTCTCCCTGCCTCCCTCTCTTTCCCTCCCTCCGTCCTCTGTCACTCCCTCTCTCCCTCTGTCCCTCTTCCTGTCTCCCTCCCTTCCTCTCTCCCTCTGTCCCTCCGCCTCCCTCTCTCTCCCTCCCTCTGTCTCCCTC